AAAGGACGGGGGGCTCTGATGTGTAAAGGACGGGGGGCTCTGATGTGTAAAGGACGGGGGGCTCTGATATGAACAGGGTGTCTTCTGATGTGAGTTTTTGCATGAGGCCCCCTCTTAAAATCCATTACATTTTAGACTGGGGTGACTCAATATTGTGTATACTCTTCAGGGTGCCATGACTAAACAAAGGCTGAGAAACACTGGTATCGAGCACAGACATATAGGGGTGCTCTCTGGGTATATCAGGGGGCATTGTACGGTATGCTGCCTGCTCGCTCCCTACACTTTACACCTGCTCAACCCCTTTAACATCTCCTTAAAGTGTATTTCCACTTGTGCAGTCAAATTTGAGGCCATCCCCGCCCCACTATATGTTTGTGTTCCCATTCACGCAGCATACCTAAAAATAATAATTACAAAAGATTCTTACCATTCACATACAATTTGTTTTGAGATCTTTAACCCTTTGTTAGGACAGACAGTCCTGCACATCCGGTTAATAAGTGATCATGAAATCTGCCAGCACCGTAGAGAAAGGGTTCATCGTGGCAAAAGCAACTCCCCAGGATGCTCCTCAGTGCCATCTAGTGGCCGTAGTGCCATGCAAAGCAGAGGAGTCCTGAATCAGAACATTCCGTTACAGTTTATGTCTTAATATCTAGTAAATGAAAAGACATAAAAGAAGGCTGTGGCTCATAGTCCCTCCAGTCCTCGTCACTCCGCATTTCCAGGGATTCACCGGCTCGACATTCCTGCCAGTTATTTTGGCAGCTCGGTATGGATGCCACAGCTGGAGATCAGACATTTGTTTCCAGCACGGGACACTCACTATAATCATACCGGCAGGGCCGGATTTACGTTCTCTGCTGCCCCAATACCAGGTTCCTCTGTGCCCCCCTGTATGCCGGCTCCATACAAGTGATCTCGGCAGCATCGCTGAGATCACTTGTACTAAGCAAGCGGCGGCTTCCCCGCTTTGGGCAAGCAGGGCTAAATGTAGAAAACAACTACCCGCCCCGGTGCCCAGAACTGCATGTCCCGGGCGTCGGGAGATAGGAATTCCACACCCCTGCTGCCCCTCTACTCCCTCTGCTGCCCCGAGGCCGGGCCTTGGTTGGCCTTGTGGGAAATGCGGCCTTGCATACCGGCAGCATTGGCCGTAGAATGATCTGCTTACCTAGGAGGCCACATTGACCTATTGGGATTCCGCTGATGTTGGTGAGTTCCAGAAATATGAAATCCTTTTCTGGCAAAATAATTTTACCATAGCCCCTCCCCTCGGTTCCCAGGGGGTGTCTTCTGAACTCTCAATTTTTTTTGTATATTTTGGATTCTGATGTAAATCGATGCGATGGAGGTCCTACTTGTGCCATGGTACCCCACGTCTTCAGATTCATGTCCCTTCACCCCTTGCTCTTCTCTTCCAGATAAGAAGATGATGCCGTTTGGCGGAATCGCGTCGAAGCTGAAGATCGATCGGCTGAAGGCAGCGGGAGTAGGGTCACATGACTGCGCCGTGAAATACCTCAAACAGGATTACGAGAGTCTGCAGCAGTCCTGCCTGGAGAATGGGACGCTCTTCGAGGACCCCCACTTCCCTGCCATCACCGCCTCCATGGGCTTCAAGGAACTGGGCCCTGGCTCCAGCAAAGTGCAGGGGGTGCGGTGGAAGCGGCCCGGGGTGAGTGTCACTGTGTACAGTCTTCTAAGATGAGGAAAGAGGGTCACCTATTAACCCCATAGTGTGAAGTCAGAGGACACATCCCGGACGAGCCCCCACTGATGCAGATCCTAAAAATGATAATTCAGGAAATTTAAATAAATTTGACCAAAAATATTCACATTTATCTTTTAAAGTGCATCAATAGCCAAAAACTTTTTTTTGTTAGGTTTGAATAGAGTAGAGCCTCTGTCAGGTTTTTATTGCTGCCTCTGCCACTGTTGGAGAGACTTCGCCTCTCTCTTTATCCCAGGGATCATCATGGACATAAAGTGAAAGGAAATCCAAAATGTTACAGTTGTCACCAGAGCCGTAGGGGAGGGGAAAGCTTCCAATGGGGACACCCGTTCTTGTGACAACTACCTATGAGTGGATTTCTTCTCTCTTTCTGGAAATTTCCTCTCACTTCCTGTTGAGTCACCAGGCCGAGAAGTGAAGGGAAGTCTCTTGAATGGTACAAAAACCTTACAGGGGATTTAACCCTTTCTTGCTCCGTCCAAAAACACACATTTTGGCTTCAGATATTTTAAGACTTTATTGATATACAAGTGATAGTGACGTCTTATTTTATTTCTCTCCAGGAAATTGTCAGCGATCCGCAGTTTATTGTAGGCGGAGCCACCAGGACCGATATCTGCCAAGGAGCGCTGGGTGAGTCCACTGTGCCATTTGTTTCATGTACGGGGATCATTTCCTGGTGTAGATGAGCCAACCGTTAAAGGCCCGGTCCATCTATGGGGTCCCCCCGCTTCAGCAGACCGTGCACCATAACAATCAAGGATTCTGCTGCCTCATTCTCATTGGTCAGTTCAGTCACATGGCCATGCTGACTAATCCCCACTCCCCATTGCCACCATTTAAGTTGCTTTATAAACTCTAGGGTGGTGTAGTAAAGAGTTCAAGTTTACAGACTATTATATCGTCCGGTGTGGGTCATCATTACAAAAAGGTAGTGCAGGGATTGGATGGGGGTAAGATAGTGAGTTAGTTTAGCGGTCACATGACTGCAGTGACCAATCAGCGCCCCCCATTGCAACCATTATGTTGTCATACAATCTCAGGGTCTGTGTAGTAAAGTTTTCAGGTTCTCGGACTGTATATCAGACGGCATGGGTGACGGTCACCATTACGATAAGTGGCATGGTTACTGGGAGGGTGGGGAGCGTGTTGTAAGTTCAACTTTTTGTTTTTCCTAAAGAGGTGAACTAACCATTGAAGAAGGATTGCACAGAGGTTTCTGTGGAACAACACAGAATATACATTTGTGAACTGTATAACAGCTCATTCTCAGGGTCGTGCACATGTGTGCACGCCCATGCAGAGACCTGCTCCCGGGAGGGACAGTTCCTCTGTGTAATTGCATGCAGCCGGTAATAAAGACCGATCACTGCCACTCTCTCCCCTTGTACAGGATGACAGGTCTTGTTTCCGCCCCTTTTGTAGTTTCTGCAGGCAGCCTGTAGTAGGTGAAGCCTGCTGGGCCCCTCCCACAGCTCTGCACAGGCTATGTGCAAGCACAGTGATGACGTCACAGATGTTACAAGATCATATCTGGGTCTGCAAGGGCCTTTTGGTGCACACAAAGTGGATATATATCCTTTGTGTCTATTAAGGAATATAGTTGAATGAAAGTTTTTGCGCCCGGAGTTTCCCTTTAAGGGAATCACCTATGGAGAACCTTAAGATATTTTCCAGTGTGCTGGCAAATCTCCACAAACAATACTGATTGCAGCCGCTTCAGAATTCCTGTTCGTTCTTTCACCTGGGTCATGGGCCCGGGTTGGGGGAAACTGGTCCTTACAGTGTTTGCACCCTTATTTATCCAGGTCGTGGGTGATGGCCAACTCCAGTCGTGTCCTCCATGCAATATTTGGGGTGATCGGCGGCCGACATTCCCCCCCCATATGTACATTGTATTTGTCCTCCCGCTGTGCTCGCTCTGCTCAGCATGCTGTGTCCTCGGTCCAGTTTCTGGCGGAGCGCCGTCCCAGCTTAGAGGCGGCTAATTATAGTGACGGGGATTGTCGGTAATCCTTAACCCCCGCACCACCAGACCGGCCCCTGTCCAGTTTGCAGGTTTTGTACATTATCCTGTGTGAATGCCGATTTAAAAGTAATAAAAAGTCTCTCTATAGAGTGTATGTGTGTGTGTGTGTGTATATATATATATATATCCGCCATCTGTATCCCTGAACACTGATATGTTATGGGGGGGTTTTTAAAGGTCACCCCCCAGAACCGATGACTGAGATTTGTGGTTGCTGCTATGGATGCCTTTTTGTCTCTCTGGATCTCCAGTGCCAGGATCTCTGGATCATAAAATACACATTATACTTCATCAGATACATGCAAAGCGCTGACGCACCAAAATGATTTGCAAATCAAATATCGACTTTAAAATATGTCAGCCGTCCTGAAGAATGCCCAGATGGTGTTCAGTGTGCGACCCCTAGAGGGCGAGAGGGAGTATGACAGGCCAGGGGCAGCCTAGAGAGCCAAATAACATTATTGATTTATGTTCTATATTCACTTCTGTATTGTTAAGACACACTGATTTACAGAGGACACTGAACCCTTTCTATTCTCTGCACCGGAGGAGCTTACACTCTAATGTCGCCGCTACAGTGACACAATATTATTATACATTTATATAGCTCTGACTTATACCATAGTGCTGTACAGACAACACTGAGTCAGTCACATCAGTCTCTGTACCAGAGGAGCTTACACTCCAATGCCCCCCCCCCTCTCCCCACAGCCACACACACTGCAATATATATACTGTATATATGCATATTCTGCAGTGCTGTACCGGGAACACTGAGCCCATCAAACCAGTCCCTGCACCATAGAAGCTTACACTCTAATGTCCCCCTCCAATCGCGCACTTATATTATACATTTATATAGCTCTGACGTATTCCATAGTGTTGTATAGAGACTGCTGAGCCATTCGCATGAGTCTCTGCACCAGAGAAGCTTACACTCTAATGTCCCGCCACAGTCACTATTATTTGACATTGATATATTTCTGAGAGCTTGTATACTTTATAATGGTGCAGTGTTGGGAGTGGAGCGCAGTCACTGACGCTCAATAATTGGGGTTTCTGATTTAGGAGATGAACTAATTTGCATATCAGTCGGAGTGTCTTGATGGTCCCACAATTTTCACTCATGGTGAATTTCTCTCTAGGGGACTGTTGGCTCCTGGCCGCTATCGGTTCTCTGACGCTGAATGAGGATCTCCTGCACAGGGTCGTCCCCCATGGACAGAACTTCCAGGACAATTACGCCGGAATCTTCCACTTTCAGGTATGCGGATGGTACATGGATTCATGGCGGTTCCATGAGACCCCTAATATGTCACAAATGTTCTCTGAATTAATATCTCTACATTGTTTCCTGACCACCTTGTCCTCTTACCATCGACCTCCATTATATTGTCTCCCCTCTATAGATCTGGCAGTTCGGTGAATGGGTGGACGTGGTGGTGGATGACCGTCTGCCGGTGAAGGATGGAGAGCTGGTGTTCGTACACTCCGCCGAGTGCTCTGAATTCTGGAGCGCCCTGCTGGAAAAGGCCTATGCCAAGTGAGTACAACATGCCCAGACAGCGTCCGCCTCGGGTCGTGCGGGTTTTCTAGCATGCTCGTTATACGAAAATAGCACGACCATACAGTAAATGCGGACACCCGCTGCCCATCAACCTGACTATTATCGTACGATCGCGGGATCACCCGCCATTATCGTACGATAATCGTCAGGTGTATGGGCCGCTTAACAGGACTCGGAAGGTTAAAATCAGCCATGAATGTGAAGTCCGAGCAGCGAGACATCCAGCATGGCTGGATGCAATAAACTTCTCAGGAAGGAGAAAGGCCTTCTGGGTAAATGCTACACATACATGGCTTTGTTCAGGAAGGGAATTTTAGTGTCAGTGTCAGCCTGTGCTATCTGATTACTGTATACACCATTCCTCGGGAACACAATATGGCCCCTGGTATACCACTGGCATGCTATGTGACCACGTGATACACTGCCGCACAACCACACCACATTGCCTATGATATACCATAACAATGGCACATTATATGACCCCCCCTGTACACTACAGTATAATACAACCACACCACATTGCCTATGATATACCATAACAATGGCACATTATATGACCCCCCCTGTACACTACAGTATAATACAACCACACCACATTGCCTATGATATACCATAACAATGGCACATTATATGACCCCCCCTGTACACTATAATACAACAACACCACATTGCCTATGATAAAACTGGCACCCTATGTGACCCCCTGTATGCTGTAATCAAATGGAAAGTCACTCGCACTCCAGATCTATACCAAATCAATCTTTTTATTGACTGTAGTAGTGTTACATTTCAAAGCGACGTTTCTGAACAACCCCTCCCCCCCCCC